AATAATTTTAAATATTATATATATTAAGAAAAAAATACAAAACTAATATAATAATAATGCACATAGATTTTGACTGAAATGGCAAAAATGAAATAATAATGCCAAGAAGAAACGAAAAAATTAGTGCTAGTTATACAGTATATGGTGCATTCCAGAATCAAGCTAGCTACTTATTTAGCGAAATTTCATGGATTTCTTTCTGCTTGAGCTTAAATTGTTTAATGAATAAAGATTTTATGCCGAATAATAGACCCGTAAATTAACTGATTACCGAACTGTAGGGCTGTCAATTTTTAATTCTTCTCGTCGAAAAGCATTCTTTTCGCTTGTCATCAGTGGGCATGAAAAACAAAAAAATGAAAGAAATATTGACATTTTTTTTATAGAAAATTGAACGCTCTTTCACGAAATGAAAATACTCTTTTCCGATCGGACCATTTTTTACGATTTCTGACTGTTTTTAAAATGGCGGCGCGACTAAAAGGCCAGTTTCAATTTTCTTTTAATATAGTTCAAAATGTAATCCCAGATCTCTAGATCTTTGTTACTGTAAAAGGACATAATGGGGCACGCATTTGTTTGGAAAGAGCTCGAAAAATAAAGCAATGTCGCTTTGTCACTCTGGGCGCGCCATCACGCTTAGTCCAGTCGCTTGTCACGGGTCGCTGTTAGGCTCTAATGATATTTTTGTACATGTACATGAGTTTAAAAACAATTGCTCTGCGTTTAATAGAGTTGAAACTGTCTTTAAGGAATATCTTAATGACCGCATTACAATTGTTTTTTTATTTTTTTATTTTTTAATTTTTACTTTGTTTATTTTGTTATTTTTATTAGTTTTTTGTTATTTTTATATTTTTGTTATTTTTTGTTGTTTTTATGTTTATTTTTTATTTCTATTTTCCGAATTATTTTTATCATATATTTTCGGGGGAACTAATTTGAATAATGGCATTAGAATTGGCATTATTTCTTAACCGGTAGTTTCTTTTCTCCAGAAAGCGGAATAAAAGTGTTACTTTTGTGTTGATAGCACTGTTTTAGCCGCGGAAAATCTTACTGCCAGTTTTGTTTAGCAGCTTCGTGTTTGACTTTAAATATGAAAAATGTTGCACTGTTTATTCTGTTTTCTGGAGAAAAGAAACTATCGAGTTAAGTAATATTCTAATGCCACTACTCAAATTACTTTTCCCGAAAAATAAATGATAAAATATGAAAATATTCCAAAAAATAGAAATAAAAAATAAAAACAACAGCACCTACTTGACTCATATCCACTGCACATTAGATGCATGTCATAATGTCAATGAATGATCGATTCAATTCAGAAATTATGATTCTTTTAAATTCATTTGAAAATTTTGCGATAGGCAACAATATTACAGTCTAAGAAATAACTCAGTTTTATAATTTCACATCAAAGTTTGACATTAAATCAGAAAATTTTTGTTTTGATGAACAAAAGCTTAAATTACATGAGATATTTAGAAATTACAAATATAAAACTGCGTTGCTTGAAAGATGTAATGTAATTTTTACAAGACAATCCCGAGATCAGAACTAGCATACTATATGTACTAGCATACGTAAAATTTATTCGTTCTTTTAACGATTCCTACAACTTGTTCGACTGAAAGGTCATTTTCTTATTTAAGACTTATCTTTGATCAACAAAAATTTGAAACAAAAATGTTTAAATCGTGTTGCGACATTGTACATTTATCGAGAAATTCTCGATTCGGTCGAAGTTAAATATGGAGGAGCTCATTAATAATTTTATTAAAAAATGTAAAATTAGAGTGGCTATTTTTATTTTATGTAGAAAATATAAGTATGAGGAAATATATTTATCTCCTCCTCTTCTCTCTTTTAATCTATCTTCGGGAATTCCATATACTGAAAAATTTTACTTCGCTGCCCCTGCCCGCCGCAACTTTACTTGGTATGAAATACGATTACTTCAATAATTCCTAACTAAACCTAATAAATAACAACTTAAAAAATGCACATAATAATGTACTTTAATAACGTATGCAACTTTAAATAAATTAAAAATACGGACCTATCACCTTATTTTCTGAATGTTAAAATAAACAGAAAAGATGTGATTTCATTTTTTTGTATTTCTCTGGCTAGCAATGTATATTACGTCATATCTTTTAATTATATCTTACGACGATGATCTTCTGCGTAAAAATTTCACCACGGTGATATCTTCGTTTATTGGAAAAGTACTAAATTAGGATGCAATTACTCGCTGTGCACAATTCCGCCACTTTCCTCTACTATACATTAAATTCACAAATTTTATTTTTGCATCTAAGATTGCAGCATGCCTTTCCTTCTCTTTCATATTTATCTTATTACATACAATACTCTCGGCTCCAAATATTATTTCATACAGAGTTAATATTGTGTAACCTCCGCTAAATAATATGTTTTAACAAGGTTGAGTAAGTTAATGTTTTTTTTTAACTGAATAAAGTTAAAGTTAATGGCTTTAGAAAATTAATAAAATTAAGTTAAAAGTTGAAGGAATAAAAAATTAACTTAACGTAAGTTAAGTCAATATTAAATTAACTTAAGTTAAAAAAAAAGTTAATTTTGAAAAAAATTATTTTTAAATCATAATGTTTTTTAAAATAATTTTTCTTAAAATGAGATTAAATAACTACAATATAAATTGTTAAGTAAATTAAATTTTTAATTTTTTTATTCATATGTGATATAAGTATATATAACACATAACGACATAACTATATAAGTTATATAACTTTAAAAACAGCTAGCATATAGAAAAGATACAAGATTACGTTTTAATAGAGATTATTTTTTAATAAATCTTAAGCCGCAAGAAATTGACCAATTACAATCGAATGCGAAAAGAATATTTGATTGTCAATTTCTTATGACTTGCGGCTTAAAACATCTATTGTAGATCCGGACTAAGACTTATAGCATAAAACATAACCACATAAACCAATCAGAGCTGTATTAGCATCTTAGAAGAAATTACTTAACTGGTCTTAAAATATACAATTACGAATATACGCCTTTAATCTTATTATATCTTACTATTTTTCTAAAATATTTAAAAGAGATACAATAAAAAAATTTTTTAATTTAAAAAAAAGTTAAAAAGTTAACGTTTAAAAGTAACTTAGTTAAGTTAAAATTTAATGCATTTAAAATTAACTAAGTTAAATTAAAAGTTATTAATTTTTTAACTTTTTTTTTTAACTTTCAACTAATTATTATCTAACTCTGGTTTTATGTATGATTTTATGTCGTCACGTAACTCATTAATAACGAGTTACTTTTTATATAACTTTAATTATTATTAATTTATCATCATGAAAAATTGTAAAATTATTATCAAATTGTTATTATAGGAAAAGTAAAGATAACAAGATAACGGCATTACAAGTAAATCATTTACTTGTAATTCCTATCCCTAGTTTATTTCCTATCCCTAGTTTAAATTATAGGTCTTCTCTTAAGCCTTCCTACGAGTTAAATATATATATATATACTGTAAAACGTAATCTATTATATTTCATAGCATTAAAATTTTCTCAAACTACCTGTTAGCAAAAAAAAAATGACTGTATAAAATCATATATCACGAAAATATTTTGCCTAATTATTCAGTTTCCTAAAAATTTCATATGAATATTTATGTGATAATGATTCCATTTTGATAATTAATCGAATGATAATAGACAGTATTAACCGAACTGATAACTGATAACAGAATATTTATTACAGAATTATTTATTTGAATCATATTGATCTGTCTTTGTTTGACTTTGAGGTATAAATCACATATTTTGAACTAAAAAATATGTATTCAATCCAGAGATACAGCGAGACAAAATTGCAAGGTTTTACAGACGTGGGAAGATAATTAAAAATAATAATAGCCTATTATTTTCTAGCATTACAGCTGGAGAAATTACAAAGAATGTATTATCGTGTATGTATGTGTGTGTGTGTGTGTGTCATATCATATGTACAGTTGATAAATATTCTAGTTGATAAATATTCCAGTATATCATTCTAATAATAAAACTGTAAAAATTTACTATTTCCATTTGCAGGATTTTCATTTCCATGTCGACTGAAATAGAACTAAATTATTGACTTTATGTTCCTTATCATAATTATCATTTATAACTTTCACAAATTTAATATTTAATAATGTTTTGCATATGTGATGCTTGCGAGAAAGATATTTGCATCGCTACATGTTCAGTGCTACTTCATATGAATTATAAACCGCAGAATACACGTGAATATTTATCGAACTCATAATTAGTTGTATATGATATTTAAATGATCGATAATTAATTTGGATTCACAGCAATTGAAGACAGACATCAAGAAAATAAAACGAATCTCTTAAATTATCAATTTATGAACGATATATGCGTGAAACGTTTTAGTAAGAAGACTCAAAGTACACAAATTAAAAAAAATCTTTATATATAAATGTCTAAAAAAAATATTAAGAAGAATTGAACTAGTTTCCTAAAAAAAATATAAATAAATATTTATAAATCATGAAATATAAGGCAATATTGATAAATTGATAAGATCTAATAAAGAAAAGAAATAAATATTAACTTAGAATTAAAAAATTAAGGAAGAAGATAGTCATTGCAAAAATGTCTTCGATTAAGAATTTAACTTTCATGAATATCAATAAAACCTCCAATTTCTTTGGAAATATAAATAAAGAAAATTCTTTTGCGGAAAAAAATAATGAAAAGAAAGTGAAATCAGAATTACATCAAGATTTATTTTGGACTTTCAGAATATTGATAATGTTCTTTAAGCTTATCGGTCTCGCTACATTCGTCCACCGAATCGTCATATACAAAAAGAGAACGTCATATACATTTCAATATTCCAAATTAGGAATCGTTTACAATGTTGTGCTGAGTAGCTTAATGATAGCTTCGAACTATATGTCTATACCATACAGAATTAATGATGATTACGATGAGAAGACGAATTTGACTGTAGGCATTGAGGTTCTGCAAACTGTACTTGGTGCCCTGGTGATGTGCGCGATTTTGATTAGCTACTGCATTGACCAGAAGTTCTTGGTGCGGATCGCTAATCAATTAATTATCATCGAGTATGAGATAGATCGTCTGTATGATCTATATTATTCGCTACGACGACAGCGTATCTTCTATACTATAATCATCGTTTGCATCTTGAAGATTTGTCTGCTGATACTTCTCCTGTGTACTGAAATTCTGGGCATCCAAACGGGCCCAGTCTCATGGCTGACAGATGTTCTGCCGACATTTTACGTGGGTTGGCTACTGATACAGTATTTCCTGTTGGTAACGGTCATTCAGACAGATTTTGCTGATGTAAATCGAGCGATACAAAGCCTTACCAGTACATCTGACTTTCGACTGCAGTCTCTCTATCAAACGCGTTGTATCGTAGTCAACAATTCGGCCGTTCATCAACTCTTGCAATTGCGAGATGTGCATTGTCATCTCTGTAAAATGTCTAATGATGTATCGAGTTTCTATTCACTACCAGTACTATTCGGCATCATTTTTCTCTTTCTAACACTCATATATAATGGTTACTGGGTTCTTTCACCTCTGTTGATGAAGACCTTAGATTATGGGACTCTTAGTAATGGCATTATCTGGATAATATTTCTGATTTATCCCATCTCTCTCCTTACCAATAGAATTACCAGCATTTTAATCGAGGTAAGCATTTTAATCAGTATAATAAGATCGCATTTTAATCATATCATTTTCAATCAATGAAACAAAATATTTTTATTAGTATATAAAATCCCAAATATTTTACGAAATATTTCAATTATAAATTTATTGTATAGATTAAGACAACGGGCAATATAGTGCATGATCTTTTAAACTGTGCAATCGGGAAAGAGACAAAAACAGAGGTAAAAAAGTTAATTAAAACTTTCTAAAAACAGTGCTCATCATAACGATATTTATCATAGATATGTTACAGCTCAAGAAATTTTCGCTTCAATTATTACATCGCAAAATACAGTTTACAGCTAACGGATATTTTATTCTCGATAATACTTTTCTTCATTCGGTGAGAATATTTAAAATATATCATGTAAGTAATTTAATATAAATTGACTTTTTTAAATTAATAATTTTGATTATCTTTCTCAGCTGATTGGCACGATGATGACATATTTGGTAATACTTGTGCAATTTCAAATGACAAGCTTGTTTTCATCAGTTAAACAGCACATAATCTCTTCCTGTAACTCTACAAAGAGAGATTTAAAATAAGAAGCGGATTAATAAATTAAAGATAAAAAAAAATATAATGAGTAATATCGAAACTTCTTAAATTGAATTAAATGCAATTAATAAACATACAGAATTGCAATTCTGAAACTTCTTATTGTAATTTTTTAATACATACAATCAGTTCTGATTTGTAAAATTAGAAAAATGTAAATATGTATCTGAATTAATATTGTTAATTAATTTATTTAACAATTAAATTGAATAAGATTCGATAGAATAAATCAATTAATAATATTAATTTTATTTAAGTAAAAAATTATTGAGAGAAAATATTTGGCAATTTTAAGTAATTAACATCTTATTAACTATTGCAAAATTGCAAAATGGTAGAAGATTTTTCGATTCTATTTGATCCTCTCTATACCAGCACATGAAATATTTGACGATTATTCTGGAACACCCTGTATAGCCACACATTTTGCGATGTATATATTTTTTAATGGAAAACAATAAATCTTTTAATTGCACATTATTTATTTAAAGTAATACAGCATAATTAAAGACATTATGATAAGCATTAGAATGGGAAGTAACATGTAATGCGGCCGGTTTTATTATAGGAATCGTAGACGGTCTGAAATCATAGAAAATTGATCAATTATAATCGATTATTCTATTTATATTTGATTTTGATTGATTAATTTACGACTTAAGATGCCAAGATCGGCTATGACTCTTGTAGATCTCGCATTATCATTATTTTTTATAATAACAATTTTATATTTATTTTACAATTTTTTTTCCATGACAGTAACGATAACGCTAAAGAAAGTCACTTTTGAAGAATAATTACAATAGTTACCACGCATTTCTGATTAAAAAATTAATTTATTACTTCACACTTCACATGCATAAAAGTAATGCATTACTTTATGTCGTCACGTAATTCATTAATAATGAATTACTTTTCATATGATTTGTCCAACTCTGACGTTATATTTACCATCATGAAAAATTATAAAATCATTGTCAAATTGTTATTATAGGAAAAATAAAAGTAACAGTAATGGCATTACAAGTAACGCTTTATTTCGCATGATTTAAATTGCTAAGGATTTCCTTTGAGCCTTCCTACGAGTTAAATGTGTATATTGCAAAACATAATCTCTTTTATTTCATTAAAATATATTTTTGGCATTAAAATATATTTTTTCAAACTGTCTATTAGCAAAAAAATATAAAAACATATATCATGAATATTTTGCCTAATTATTCAGTTTCCTAAAAATTCCATATGAATATTTAAATGATTATAAATCACGATAAATGATTTTATTTTGATAATTAACCGAATTGAATTGTAAATTATTCGTAAAAATTTGACTAATTGATAATTAGTCAAATTTTTACGAATAAAATCCTTAATTATCGATATATCTATCCCAGATTGTTTGAGAAAAGACTTTTTTATATTTAATACATTCTGAATTTGTACAAGTTACTTGTTAATGCAAATATTAAATTCGAAAAATTTCAAATTTATCTCGGTTATGTAAGTTTAATATAAAAAACGAATTATAATTTAATAAATTTTTTTTGCTATAAACTACATTAAAAAATAATTTCTTTTAAATATAGCATGTACTGATAAGAATTTTCATTTAATTAATTTACATTTTATTAAATATCACTTACTCTTAATTAATAAACAACTGTTTATATTATTTAACAGAATATCTTCATTGCTATTTAGGAAATAGTTTATGGTTAAATAGTTATAGTTATAGTTATAGTTTATGGTTAAATAATCATCTGATAAATATTATGTATCGCAGACTGTTTCAGAGATTGACGGTATCTTTACTCTTTAATTACGAATAATATTAAATATCCTTTAAAGGACTGTTTTTACTCTGTATATCTTTCTAATACATAAAATTTTTGTAAAAAATCTTGCGATAAAGAAATTAATTTTACTATAATTAGAATTTTTTAAATATGTCGCAATTGGATATGCCAAATATTAAAAAAGTTATGATAATAGAAAATTTTGAAATTCACTGCGCAAAATCTTGGCTAGACTAAAATTTTAAGAAATAACAGAAATCTATTATGTATCTTTTAATAAGTATGTTTGAGATTAAACTTTTTTATTTAAACTAGTAGAGTATTAATAAGAAAGCATTCTTTCAAATTAGTTTTGATTATTTTTATAAAACAAAAGATTATTTTATGAAGGTTTCGAAGAGAATTATTCCATAGTTCTTCATTAAAAGGCCTCTTGTAAAAATTGCAAAATAATAGTATTCTTTTAAAACAGAAAAGTCAATATTATTCTATAATTTGAGGATAAAGAACAAATTTATACATACTTCTTTTTCTGTTTATAGTTCTTCAAATAGTTTCCACAGTTCTTATCGGCTCCTAAGGTATTATATTAATATTTTTAAAGAAAGTGATTAAAAAATATTCCAACATAATTTTTCTAATAAAGAGGATAATCAAAATCTTTTTTCTTCTTTAAAGTACACACAACTAGCTTGCGATAATATAAGAGATATCCTTCAAAGAAAGTAAATATTCGTATTACAGATTGTGGGGTTTTTTTGGCATATATACATATATGCATAGCATGATTACAAAGTTATTTAAACTACTTAATCGCTATATGCGAGGTCATATATTATCGCATGGGAATTCTAGACTATATTATCTAAAGATTCAAAGCAGTATAAGAGATCTGTTTAGATTTTATCGTATTTTATTTGCCATCGTTACACTAAGAATTTAGAAAATTTATATAATAACGTCTTATAGTTAGA